TCATTTCAAGACACGTTAATAATAACTGTAACCTTGTATTATTTTTTTTTTCAAATAATATCTTTAAGTGTTATCTTGGAGGATAAGAGAAAGAGGGGGAAGTTTTATTAACTAATGCTTTTTTTTCCCCTTCCCCCCACCCCACCACCACCACCAAATGAGGTAAATAATAATCTGCACCCACAGTCGTGCCCCGTCTCTCTCTAGTCCCAGCTACGAGTACCTCTCAGTGCCTTTGGCAGGCATGTCGTTCAGCTCTGTGTTGGAAAGTGTGCTCGTTTGTGAGCGGTTAAGGAGAAACTCGAAGCAAAAGAGATGTGCTGCTGCAAATGTTTATTGTTTTATATAGAAGTATACTACATTGATTATTACCCTTTCTACTTGTTCTGTCTCTTGACTTTTCTGTTCAGCGGGGCAGTTTTTTTGTTATTTTAATCATGGATTCACTTCACACATCAAGTTGATGGAATATCCGTTAGGTCGCCAGCTCATTTTCAGTAACAGTTGGATCATTTCAGCTTATACAAGGCAGTATTTGTCATGTATGGTAACGTTCTCAATTTTTTAAAATGTATTTGTCTACTCCTAATAGTTTAAATTCAAGCGTGGGATTCGTATTAGTTAATCTCTAAAATTCACAAGCCCATATATAAGGGCGTCCTTGGTAAATTGTGTCACTTTGTTTTTGTTTACATAAATCTCCTTTTTAAAGTGTTTTGATTTGAATTAAAGAACCTAACTTGTTTTTTGTTTTTTAATTTTGTCTGATAGTAAAATAAAAATCCTGCATAAAATGAATGTTATATACCCACCAGGAGTTCAGAATTGTTCCCTATGCATGTTAGTCCTTGTTAAAGCTGTTTGCGTATTTAACTGGACCGCATGACTCAACAGAAGGAAAGTTCATCGTTATGATCATTTGACTCAGGCTCTCAGTTTTGTGTGCGTGCGTGTGCGTCCGTGTGTGTGCATGCGTGTGTACAACAAAAAACATTGCACTTGGGTTTTTTGTTTTGTTTTTTTTGCTTACATGTCAAGTTCACCTTGTGGTCTACACACTCAGGATATGCCCCAAAAATGTCACTGCAATGCATAGGTAGGAGGATTTAGTGTAAGTTGTTCTCATAGTGTTGCTCATCAGTATTTTATTTTATATATATATATATTTTTTTATTTTATTTTTAAGACGACCCTCCATGTGTCATTACTTTTGACCATATTTCCATATGTAAGTTTTTGATAAGTCTCATTTGTGGTCTGTTGCAAAACCTACTTGTTTTAAACTGGGTCATAACACAATCACTGGAATATAAAATGCTGTATATCATTGCAATAGGTGAGTATTCAGTTGGTATCTCTTTTTGGAGATGTTTCTGCTTTCGTTAAAACACACAGACACTGACATGTCTTCTTTGTAGGGGTATAGTCAGTGTATTTCAAGCTACTCTCTACTCAGTGTCTCAGCCGACATGTTGCTACCACTGGCTTCCAGCAGGCTTCTGTAGCCAAAGAACATACATGTAATGTCTGCTTTGTCTTTTGAGATTTTTCTTATTACATTTTTATACATCATTACATAGGTTGATGTGATTTTTGAAAACCTGTTTTGTTAAAGGATTAATAAAGTCTGATATTTTCAACTGTCCTGTTTCTCATGTCTAACCACCACGTGTGCACTCACGGCAGGACCACGAGTGTCTAAAAAGGTATTTATAAAATATACAGCGAGAGAGAGCTCACGTGCACTGTCCTCTTGTCTGCTTTATTTCTCAGAGCTAGCTCCACTTTGAGGTTCGCCTGTGGTAACTAGGGCTGGGTATCGCCACTGATTTCTATAATTGATTCAAAGTTGATTCAGAAATATTTTTGCTCAATGTCAACCCAGGCTGAAGGTGTTGTTGGGCAAAAATAATGAGTGGCCGATGTTAGTTGGGCAGCCATATAATATCATCAGAGGTTGGGGACTTGGAGACCTCCTCTTTCATAGGGCAAGTAAAGTAGTTTTAAGCGGAGCCTTGCCTTCCCATTATTTCAAATAAATTGGTTAAATAGTTTGTTTAAAATGTAAAAAAAAATGAAGTTGGTAGAGGCAACGGAAGTGTTTGGAAATAATATAAAAATGTTGGTAAAATTGTTATTTTTAAGATATTTATCTGACCTATCATAGATACAGGCAGGTTTATCCAACAGTTTGGGGGGCGGGGACTGTGCCAGTGAGGCACAGTCGTCGTCCCCCTCGGCGCAAACCACGATGGAAACTCTGTGCACAGGATCCGTGACAGCCAGGTACTTGTGAGTTGTGTATGTCCACTCAGGCATCATTCATACCTGCTTTGTAGGCAGTTCCTGTCAGAAGGAGAGGGCACAGTGGGGCCGCCGAGGGGTGGGAGGTGAGAGGGAGTCCCACTGTACCTCTCTCCTTCTGAGATTTTAAAAAAGCCCCAAAACTTAATCTTTATATGTGTATATATGTATACATATCTGTCATCAGATGAGGTTTGAAAAAAAATTGGAGAATTTTCAGGATACAAAATTAACAATTCGAAATCAGAATAAATGTTTCTTAATGAGAAAGAAAGAAGGCAGTCTGTTGTGGCCACCCCATTTAAAACAACTACAACAGGGTTTAGATATGTAGGCATTATGATTACCCCAAGCCTCAAGGACATAACCTCAATCATTTATGATCCCCTTGTAAGAAGATGTCACAGAAACGCTAAACCGTTGGATAAACCTGCCTGTATCTATGATAGGCCAGATAAATATCCTAAAAATGACAATTTTACCAACATTTTTGTATTATTTCCAAACACTTCCGTTGCCTCTACCAACTTCATTTTTTTTTACATTTTAAACAAACTATTTAACCAATTTATTTGGAATAATAGGAAGGCAAGACTCCGCTTAAAACTACTTTACTTGCCCTATGAAAGAGGAGGTTTCCAAGTCCCCAACCTCAGATGCTATTATATGGCTGCCCAACTAACATCAGCCACCCATTATTTTTGCCCAACAACACCGCCAGCCTGGGTTGACATTGAGCAAATTTCTTCCCTTACACACTTTTCTATATTCTTCAGACACTAAGACATTAAAAAGAATATAAAGAACCCTTTCATGAATAATACAATTATAATTTTGGCATGCAGCACATAAACATGTGGGCGATCCTCCATCGCTTTCGCAATTTGATATTTGATTTGATTTGATATACCTTTATTTGTCCCACAAGGGGAAATTTCATAAGGCTGCCGACCTATTGCACGCAATGGCGGCGCCATCTTACCCCTATTTGGAGAAATGAAAAGTTTACGCCTCGTGAAAATGATGGAGGATTTAAAATATGGAAAAATAAAGGTATTCAAAAAGTTAAAGACCTATATGCAGACAGCATGTTGCTCACATTTGATCAGTTATGTGAAAAACATTTAACACCCCCAAAGCACTTTAAAAATAATTTGTCATCAAAACTGCAAAAGATTGCCGAATTCCACCATTAACAAAAGGAGGTATGTGTTAAGAATACAAAGGGAAAAGGTTTTCTCTCTATATATTATAATTTATTGATGCTTTCCTCCAAAGACTCAGCAGCAGATAAGCTGGATGCTTGGAGAAGGGAGATCCAAGAGGACATGGATAAAAATGACTGGAACCAACAATAACCTATATATAACCTATATAACACCTGCCAAGCTTTATCATATGTCCAATGATATTCCAGACATCTGTACTAAATGTTTATGGGAATGTCCTAAAATCTAGGAATTTTGGAAAGATGTTATCAAATGTCTGTCTGAAGTGTTTAAGGTAAAAATCTCTTTAAAAGGTAAACTCTGTGTACTTGGAATATACCCAAGGGAATTTAAGCAACTGGAAAAACAAACGAAATTGCTGGACTATGGACCACTTCAAGCCAGAAGAGCCATTGCACTATGTTGGAAGAGTATGGATGCTCCCTCCACGGAACTCTGGAAGAAGGAAATTGCAGACTCTCTAGGCCTGGAAAAACTAACATATATTGCCAAGGGCAAATAATGGGGCTTTGTGAATATGTGGAAGCCATATATGGATATTTTAGGGATTGGAGGTGAAGGACCTTTATGAGGAAGAAGGAAAAGAAGAAGGAAAGGAGAGAAAGGGAAGAATCTTGTTTATCCTAATTCCTTGTATTTTTGTATTACTGTGAGAATTATGCTAATTTCTACATTTGAATATAATGTAGGCAGGTTTGATGTATGGATGGGTGTGTGAATGTGAGGGTGTTCAAACATTTGTTTGTATTGTAGAACAGAAAATTTCAATTAAAAAAAAAAATCTATAAAAAGTTCCTGTCTCGACTGTTTTGTAGAAGGGTTTCTCCGAGAAGGGGAGGGCAGTGAGGCACAGTCCCCTGTCCTCAGTGCAACCCGCGATGGAAACCCGCTACACAGGAACCGTGAGAGCCAGGAACTTGTGAGTTGTGTATGTCCAATCAGGCAACATTCATACCTGCTCTGTTGGCAGTTCCTGTGAGAAGGAGAGGCCACAGTGGAGCTGCCAAGGGGCAAGCCCCAATCAGTTTTTGACAGTGACTTTTATATAACCTTTATTTATGCAGTTAAAAAAAAAATCTCATTAACATTAAAAATGTATTTTGTAAGAGTAAGCTCGCCAAGAGGACAGCAGAAATGGCAGCAAATATTACAATGGTTCTGTAAAAATATTTTAAGTGGGGATAAAGGATTGGTTATAATGTAAGTACAATACACAGAGTTGTAAAGATACAACTATATTCAACTAATTCTATATATAACCCCTTTGTAAACCCTGTTCACCGAAGTCTATTTACGAACATACGTAAAGATATTACACATAAAAAATACACAGAAACATTGGAAATCACTTTTTGGCACACCACACGCGCCGTTGTTCGCGGCTATCCCTCTTCACCAATCAATTCACAGGCAACTCAGTATTACCCAATAGCAAGGTTGGTTGTTAGTTGTAGGCGGAGACTAGGAATTACAAACTGTTTTGGATACCTTCTTCATTGCAACTGCATTGGGTAACATGTAAAGATTTGTCACAGTAGAAACGATAAATTCGTATGTTATGCTTTTATAGCGCAAGAACAATAAAAAGTAAATTTTTAGTTAAAAGGTTAATGCTGTCTGTGGGTCGTTTGGTGGCTTTTTGCTGTGAAAACAGTGATAAGGTTGAGGAGTTAGCCACCTGTTGATCCATCGAGCAACCCTGTTTACATTTAGCGAGCGTAGTTGTGCTGGTGTAGCCTCGAATACTTAAAACATAGCCACATGCTGATGAAGTTAAAGGTCTTCTGGAGCTTTTCAACCGTTCACACAAGCGGTAAATGTTGCTTCAGCGCCGGAAAGCTAAATATGCACCCGGTAATAGTCTGATGTTTGACATCAAAGAGCTAATCGGTTTGAGGGAGCTCAGCCTACACAGAAGCTGAGGTGAGTAATCACAGAGACCCAACCTGTAGTTGGTGTTTTTTGCAACAGAAACCTGCAAATAGGTAGTATGATTCTGTTTTCGAGCCGTCCACCCCCTTCTCTTGGTTTCCTCTCGCTGGTCTACAGTCAGTCAGATGGCCGTGGTGATGAACAGGTTCCGTCCTGGCTGCCTGATGTTATAATATCTTGTGGGACGGCTGAGAGACGGATTGTTGCTGGTAGGTCCAACCTCCTCCAAGTCAACGGTAAAGGGCAATGGAGTTATTTGTGAGTGAACCACTAAGAAAAAAAGTGTTTGAATATCATTTACACATTACCTGTCACATCGGACTATGTTACATGCTGTATAAAGGTATGCACGTCCATGAATTCGGTAATTGTTCGCTCAGGCATAAATGAGAGAAACTATTTTGTGGGCTGGTTTTGTTTGCATAAAGGGTGACTACCCAGGTGTGGGCTGGTTAGTGGTCTATATTTTCTGTACACGTAAAACTGAGTAATTTGTTCAAAAAATGAGCAGATCTAGTGTTACATAGCAGCTCTAGGGTAAAAAAAAAAAGTTTCTCATCCACTCCTGTGTTATGCCTTTGTTTGTAGCATGCATCATTCAACAGTTGTTCTGTAGAGATGGAGTCCATTTCTGCTTTGAGGAAGAAGGTTGGCTGTGTGCGGCAGGAAAACGCCTGTCTGGCTCTGCAGGATGAGCAGCTCATCAGTGACCTGGATGCAATGCAGGCTACCTCCAAGTCTCAGGTATAATATTACACATGTGATTTTTAATTTTATTATTTTTTTTAAGTGGAGCTTGTTAAATCTTTAAAGACTGTGGGTTAGTCTGCTGCAGATGAATGCAGTGTTAAATTAGTGTTAGATTTCAGTGGCTTTTTCCTTGAAATGTCAAATATGATATGACAAGTCTCCTGTAATAACTAGCAGAAAGTGTATACATGGGTTATCTGTGTTCGTTTGCAGGTCTACCTCAGGGGCCCTAGGGCTGGGGTTCACAACAATGTGGTGGTCATGAGTGAACAGATTCGTCAGCTTGAAGCGGAGCTGGAGGCTCAGGCCAAAGAACTTAAGTATGTCATTGACTGAAATATCCACAAGGTTTTTATTCTTAACAGAACATAAAAAAACATAGCTTAAGCATTTAAAGTGATTTTTATGAAAAATATTAGCTCATTTTGAATTTGATGGCAGCAGCACATCTGAAAAAATTTGGAATGCGTGCAACAAATGGGTGGAAAAGTAAGTGAAAAGAAACAGCTGGAGGAACATTTTACAATCAGTTTAGTTGGGAGCAGGTGTGTAACATGATTGGGCATAAAAAGAGAGGCCGAGGTTCACCAGTCTGAAAAAACAAAACAAAAACATAATCTACAAATTGTGGATGAATTTCAGAATAATGTTCCTTAATGTAAAGTTGTGAGACTGTGAATATTTCATCAAATGGACTAACAAAAAGTGGAAAACTGTTTGCGGTCAGGTAAAGCCATCAAAAGGCATCTTTGAATGTATGGAGGTGGATCAGAGGCTGTGAAATTAACAGCTTGCACATCTGGAAAGGCACCGTCAGTGCTGAAAGGTGTATATACAGGTTGTAGAGCAACATATGCTCCCATCTAGAAGGGAAGGCTTTGCATATTTCAGGAGACATTTGGAGCATCGTGAAATGAAAACTAGAACAAATTGGAACAGGCAAAGATGAGAACAAACAGGACAACATTCCTCTCCTAAAAGTCCAGCCGGTCTCCTCAGTTTCCATATGTTTCCAGACTGTTGTTAAAGAAGGGGGTTGCTACACAGTGGTACACATGACCATGTCCCAAGTTTTTTTTTTTTAGACTTACTGCTGCCATCAAATTCAAAATGAGCTAATATTTTTCTCAAATATGTAGATTTTCTCAGTTTAAAGATGTAATTTGTTTTTTATTGTTAATAAAATAGAATATGGGTTTATAAGTATGCAAATCATTGCATTCTGTTTCTATTTACTTTTTAGTAAGTCAAGCTGGAACCTTTCAGTTTCTTAAAAAAGGTCCCCAAAAGATCAAGTTCACTCTGGGTGGAAATGTGGCTCTTTATTCGAGCTTTTCAAGATTTACTTATTACGTTTGCCTTTTGTTTCTTGAAACTGTGCCTTTAATTTTGGCATTAATAGCATAACCTGTATTGTCTGTGTTTCCCAGGGCAGCAGAGCTGAGGGCAGAGTGTTGTCAGGAAGCTGCAGCTCACAGCGACATTGTGGTAGCGACTCTTACTGAAGAGCTGAGCACACTCAGGGAGGAGCTGGAAAACAAGACGGCGTTAGGAAAACGGTGGGCTTATATCCAGGCTCAGCTCTGCTCATGATTTCAATCAGTACAGTTTAAAATATGAGTGAAAATAAAAGAAAATAATCTGGTACAGTGTGTTTTGTCTGTATGACTGTCTGTACTGGGCATCACATTTTTAACATCTTATGTTTAGTTGAATTATTTACTGCATTTTACTAACGCATGTGCAACACCATGGCTTGCAGGGCAGAGCAACAGAGGAATCAAGCACTTGAAAATGCAGAGAAGCTCAAAGAAGCCTTCAAAGATTATAAGGCTACAGTTTCCATTAAGCTTAAAAGGGTGTGTTTATTGAAATATTGATTGATTTAAACTAAAAAACACAGTTTTTCTTGCATGTTAACATCAGAAATATGTTTTGGTTTGTGGTTTTCAGGTGATGGAGAGTGAAAACAAACTAAAAGGAAGTCTCATAGAGTGTGACCGAGAGAAAGAGGAGCTGGAGAGGGAGAAGGCAGAACACAGACAGACAATTAGGTACTTTTAATTTAACTGCATTGTTATGAAGTTCTTTGAGTGCTTGCAGGATTTCTAATAATCATAAAAGGGATGATTTTGTCTTTTATAAGGAAATTTCTGTGTGCTTGCATAGCATGTTTAATCCGCATCGTTTCTCCTCGTCTATCTCGCAGTCAGCTGACGGAGGAGGTGAAACAGTTTAAGACTGCGGCCGCTAGCCTCCAAGCCCAAATCGAAGAGGCTGGACATAAAGCTTCGCACCTGGAGCGGCAGCTTATGGAGCGAGGTGCAGAGTGCAGGGATGTGGCCTCTTTGCGCAGGGAACTGGAAGACCTGCGGGCTGTGACCCACAGCCAGGAGCAGAAGGTCGCCCAGAGCCAGAAAGAGGCTCAGCAGAGCCAGACAGAGCTGGCCGGCTTGGAGGCCATACTGGCCCTGCTGCATCTGCGAGAGGTGGGGAGACGTCTGTGTGTGTCGTTTGTGTTCTTACCCAGTTTTTGAATCAAGGTTGTGCTACGTGATTATTTTATTTGCTTCCTCAAAACAAGTCGCCCTTTATGGCTGATCGTGCAAAACAAAGACATGGTTACTGTTGTCACACTTTTTCTTAAAGGGTACTTTGGGGCAAATCTGTGCCAGTCCTTGCATGTTGCCCCCAGTGGACTATACGGGAGCTGCACACCTGATGAAGCTAAAGCCAGGTAGGCTCAATCAGATTAATCAGTTCATACTTGCAACATCTTCTTTTTTTCAAACTGAAAGGGAAATTATTTGTTGATTATTAACAGTTTATTTGAGAGAAAGATTTGTTCTGCATTCTTCTTTGCACTTTGTGTATGTAGTTTAAAGATGCAAGAGTTTAAAACCAGCCTCTGAAATTATTTAATCTAAAAAATAAAAAGAGTAAAGCTTGTGGGTGTAGTGAAGGAGGACATGCAGAGAGGAGAGGATGCTAGGGTTTAGGATGAGATGGAGCCAGACGATCCTCTGTGGTGAACCCTTAAAGGGAGTGACTAAAAACAAAGTATAATGAATAAATTATGAACTAGTTAATGATTTGATGTTTTAAAAGGAATGTAAAGCTAAAAATAAATTCCAATATTTATCTATCTATAAAAATGCCTAAAAAAACAGAAAAAAGAAAAAGGCATCGACTGCAGTCCTCTCTGTTAATCCCGGCAGGTGAGGGCTACCAGCAGCTCACGCGAGTGCTGCAGTCAAAGGAAGCTGAGCGGCTGAAACAGAGCAACCTGATCGAGCGGCTTCAGGATCGTCTGAGCAGGGCCCAGGAGGAAATCTCCTCCCTGCAGAGCTCCATGGCCCAGAGAGCCTCCCACTACCAGAGCCTCCACACAGAGCTGCTGGACAAACTCAAACAAGCCACAGACACCGAGAAAGAGGTAACACACTTTTTCTTATGTTTCCACACACACACCAGTGCTAACAGCAGTGTAGCACATACAGTATTGTTTCTACTTACTGATTTTTTTATTGGAACAACTCAAGCCAAATGTACCAAAGGGTACAGTATAGTATTTTATAGTATAGTATTTAGGTAATAAATCACTAGATTGTAAAGTGTACAGCGAGTTTTATAGCTCAGTAAGCTTTTGTTCCAAGTTTCAAAAGTCATGACTGTTACTTACAGATTAACTGTCTCTGTTGAACTCAGTTAAAGAAGAAAAAGGCACGAGTTGCCGCACTGGAAAAGCAGTTACAGGAGAAGACTTCAGCCTACAGTCTGGCTGCACTGAAAAACACTGAGCTGGAGACTCAATTACAGGTACGTGGTTATGATTCGAATGTAGTTTTTCTACTTTTAGAAAGTCAACGGCAAATCACACTTTGGTTCTTTTTTCATTTTGATTAAAGGAGAAGACCAGCAGCGTCCAGCATTACCAGTCACTGCTGACCAAAAAGCAACGAGAGCATCAGCAGTCTCTGGAAAAGTGTCAGCAGTCTCATTCTCACCAATTCACAGAGCAGCAACAAAGAATACAAATGGTGATCTACAGCTTTGTCTTTTACCTCTGTATTATGAATTTAATCATACTGCATAATATTAAATGTGCTGCAACCAAAGAGTAAAAAAAGAGGAAAGATGGAGATAATCTGCACTGTAATATTCCTTGTAGTAAGATTATTTTCTATCTCCTGCAGCTGCAGTTGTCTCTGGAAGAGGTTCAGCCTCGGGTGGCAGAGATGGAGCAGGAGTTGAGTTCCCTCCAGAGGGAGCGAGACGAGGCTCAGAGAACAGCTCTGTTGCTGCAGAACTCTCTAGATCAGCTCACACAGGTCAGAACACTTGTAGCATAAGACCACAGATGCATCCTCTGTTTCAGAAGAAGACATGTAGACAGTAGAAGTCGGAGAACCATTTAATAGACATGCATCACAGTACATATGCTGTTTATGAATGAAAAACTTGAAATTGTATTATTTTCAGGAGAAGCAGGTGGAAGTCAGACAGAACGAGGAGTTTCTCCAGAGTTTCAAAGAGCAGGCAGCTCGCTCTGCAGCCAAGGTGTGTACAAATAACACTGATAACAGATTTGGTTTACTGGACATGAACTTCTAGAACAAGCCAGGAATCAAACCACATCAACAACTGCAGTTACCAATATGTTTCTACACCAGGTGTGTGAGCTGCAGTCGTCTCTGTCAGCATGCAGAAAAGAGATGAACTCATACCTGCAGCAGATAGAAGAGATGAAGAAGAACTACGAGACCGAGCTGGAGAGGAACAAGGAGAAGGTACAGTGTTGGTAACAATGCAGGAAAACTCATGCAAATTCATCCAAAACCCACTTCTGAGGCACATGTTCTCCACTCCTTCCCTACTTTTTAGGTGTCCTCTCTGCAGGAGAAGCTTCACAGCACCACTCTGGTTTGTCAGAGCTCCAGTGAGGAGAACCTGCAGCTGCAGCTTTCTCTCCAGCAGCAGCAGACCATGCTCACAGAGAGCAGCGCTCGAGTTTCTGAGCTGGAGGAGAGCCAAAGCCAGCTGCACAGGCAGGTGAGCTAAGACGGAGCAAAAACCTTCTCACTTAGAAGGTAAACTTGGGGAAAAAAATGCATTTTGCATACTTGTTTTATTGAAATTTATGCTTTGTATTTATAAGTGGTACGTTTAGAGTTATTGTCATATTTTTAGTTGAATGTATGGAAAATGCTAAAGATTACACAGCTTCAGAACAAACAGAAAAGTGACTGTACCCGAATATTCAGACCTTTTCTTAGACACGTTTCATCGATAACTTTTATTTTTAAGTATCTTTTCTAATGCGTCTCCTGATTTATACGGCTTGTAAAATTGTAACAGTTTGCTGTTTATTTTTATTGATAGGGAATAACAATAATTCAAATCAGAGTGTATGTTGTTGTTGGTACTCTCTGCCTGCAGGTGTCGGGTCTGGAGCAGCAGCTGGAACGAGCCCGAGTGTCTCTGCAGGAAGAATTAAGCAAGAGACAGGAAGATAATCAGGGGAAGGAGAAGACGCTGCGGGAGATAAACCAGCAGAATGAATGGCTCTCCGAGTCTGTGAGGTGAGCACAGCTAAAACAAGAGAAACTATAGCTCTAGTTTTAGTTATAAGAACCATGTTTGCTTTTTAAAATGCAAAGCTTGGTATTATGGCGTAACAGTCATTCGCTTTTGTAGCTGTTTAATGCAGTTTGTATGGAGGTTTGTTAAAGTTTCATTACAGTTCTCATTTTAAAAGGAGCAAGAAAATAAAAGCACTTTAAGAGTTTAAATCAAAAGAAATATTTGCTGAGTCAGTTTAGTTTCTAAAAATTCTGGAGGGATCTTTCCAGCTGTGCTGAATTAAATCTTATAAAACTGCAAGTGTGCCTAATTTCTTGAAAGATAATGGTTTGTTTGTTTGTTTTTTATTTGTGGGTTGTTGTTTTTTTCTGCAGACATCTCACATTAGAGGTGAAAAAGTGCAGGGAGGAGCTAGTGTCCAAGGAGTCAGAGCTGGAGCGTCTGAGGAAGGATGTCGGTGTTAAGACTTCTCAGATCAGCTGTATGGAGGAGAGCCTGCAGCACATAAAGAGCCAACTCATCAGCAAGAATGACATTGGTAAGAGGTGTTTGTTTTTCTCCATAGGTTTTGTGGAATTCTTTTATCTTGTTTAAATACTAGGAGCATTAACACAAACACAACTTAACAAACCTCTCACCCTCCTAGTTATGGATCTGGAGAAGGCGCTTAATCGTAGTGAGGCAGATCGGCGCAGCTGTTCTCAGAAAGTCGAAATCTTAGAGGGGCAGCTGCAGATGGTGCAGAACGAGTTGGCTGACACTCTGAAGCAACTACAGGAACTCAAGGATGTTTTACAGAAAACCCAAAAGGTTTCAGATGAGCGGCAAGCCTCAGCGGAAAAACTGACTGTCCAGCTGAGGTGAGAGCATGGCGTCATGTGCTCAGATGAGAGCTTTTTTGTGTATTTATCCAAAGAAAATAATTTGCTGTTTAACATTTAATAATGGCTTTTTATGCTGTAAGTATTTGTGTGTATGACTTTACAGGGAGACCCAAAGGGAGCTGGAGGAGAGAACTCACGAGGTTTTAGACATGGACAACGCCCTGAGGGAAAGACAGGGGGAGCTCCAACAGAGAGCAAAGCTGGTACATCCCAGACGTACACAACCATAGCTGATGTACAGTTCATTTAATCCGTACCATATTTTGCTGCCATGACTCATCATTTTCCTCTTTCTCGACATCCTGTTGTGTTCAGCTTGGCCAACTGGACGTGGCCATCAAAGAGCACAAGCAGGAGCTGGAGAGGAAGGTGGAGTCTCTGCAGCAGAGCCTGGAAGCCAGAGAGAGAGAGCTGAGGGACGCACAGAGGGAGCTCACTGACAGAAACATGAAGGTCAGAGCAAGTGTGTCACTGGGTTTGTCTTGAGGGATATTTTTCAGTTGGCATTAGAAGAATGGGAAAATAGAATGAACGAACTGACAATGTTTTGTGTGCTTCTTCTCACTAAGAAAACAAAAAACAGAACGATGTTTACGTCCCTTTTTGCATCGTTCAGTCTTTTTGTGCTACATGTTTCATCAACTTGTTTGCAGCTAGATTAAACTGTAGGATATTTGGATATGGAGCAGCTTTAATATGAGATGTTAATCAAACACAGTCAGTTCCACAAATGTTTGCGTACCTTATGTTTGCCTTTATTTTGTGTTGTTACTTCATAAATCTAATTTTCATGCTGTAGTCTGGGTAAACAGAAGCAGCTGCTCTGAAGAGATGTACAGATCTAGTTTAGAGTCAGTTATAGAGTTAGAAAATGAACTCATGATTGGTATGATTTAGATAACACACTGTGCTGATGTACAGTTTACATACAGTAGTCATGGTAATTTGGGGATTTTAATGATTTTTTTGAACTGCTCTGGTTCCAGGATGGAGTGATCATACAGCAGCGGTCCCCAACCTTTTTTGCGCCACGGACCGGTTTATGCCCGACAATATTTTCACGGACCGGCCTTTAAGGTGTCGCGAATAAATACAACAAAATAAAACTAGTACCGGTACCAAAAAAAAGAAGATTTATTCATAACACACGTGAAAAGACCCAAGAAAACAGAGTTAACGATAAAAACGATAACAAAATAACGCTGAAAACCAATAAAAACCCTGAAAACCATACATTTCACACCCCAGCCTCAACTCTCGCGGCCCGGTACCAAACGACTCACGGACCGGTACCGGTCCGAGGCCCGGGGATTGGGGCCCGCTGTCATACAGCATACATCTTTAATGACTTCAAAGAACAAAAATCGGGTGCACAGGTTTCAATTTATTTTTCATTTTCTCTAATCCACACAAGATCAAAAGTATACACACAGGCTCAAATAAATACATAAACTCACTAAAATATTTAATAAGTGGTTCCTGTCTTTGAACTTATCAACGTCTCATTAGTGATCATGATTGACCTCTGCTAGCTTCTCTTGTCCAGCATAAAATGGATTTGTGTGACAGGACTCATTGGATTGTAAATCAGAGAAGATCAAAGAAGGAGTTTTGTAGATTTGCACAAGTTAAGGTCTACACAACTGCTAATTCAGTTCAAACAATTGGAGGTAAATATAAGTTATTCAAACTTGTCAAGGTCTGGAAGAAGACCGAAACCATCACTCTCAGATGAGAGGAAATTGGTTTGGATGTTCAGGAACAACCCAGGAACCACCAAGGCTGATGCCTACTATGAACTGGAAACTGCTGGAACTTCAGCATCACAACTTCAAGGCCAACTGAAATTTGCAGCTGCCCACATAGACGGGTCAAATACCTTCTAGTCACAATGATAAGAAGTATGTTTGGAGGAGTAAACTTGGAGCTTTCATACCTAAGAACACTGTACCATCTCTCAAGCATGGTGGTGGTAGCATCATGCTGTGGAGCTGTTTTCCACCTGTGGTAATGGTTCATTGCTCAAAGTGAATGAAATAATGAAGAAGGAAGACTACCTCTAAGTTCTTCAACTTAACCTCAAATCAGCAGCTAGACAGATGAAACTTGGACAAAACTGGATGTTTCAACAGGACAATTACACCAAACTGAGATCAAAACTGGTTTTGAAATGGATAAAGTGGGCTAGCATTGAGCTTGCCTTCCCCATCCCCCAAACTAAAACATGTTAAAGTTGTGGAGAATATTTAAAGGCTGGATCAGTGCTAAGAAACCAACCTCAATTTCAATGAACTCTATCAGTTTTGCCCAAAAGCGTTGTCAAATATTCACCCAGTATTATGCCAGAAGCTTGCTGGTTACTGCCAAGAGTGACTGGTCAAAGTGCAACATGGGGGCATTTAACCACATAATAATGGGATGAAAGTATATATTTGAGCCTGTATTTATACTTTTGACCTAGTTTGGATCAAAGAAAATCCACAAAAATTCAAACTTGTGTGCTCACTTTTTGTTTTTAAAGTTATTAAAGAATGTCTGCTGTACAGCAGACATTTGGTCGCAAAATGCAACCAAATTTTTCAATGGTGCGACTAAAAAAAATTCTTGGCCGCACCGGTGCGACCAGCTGTTCCAGTAAAAAGAAAAACAAGTCTCCACATCTCTGAAAGTCCGTGTGATCAACAACTAACACTCATCATTACCCTATCGTGTGTCCCAATCAGAGATAGTCAGGGGCGGGACCTCTCGTGGTCCTGAAGTTGTCCCGTAGTCCTTTGTGTGTACGTTTGTGTGTGTACGTCCTTTGTGTGCTGCCTGCCTTTCAGCGGCAGGCAGCAGCAAACACGTCATCAAAGGAGGCCGATGTGATGATTAAGTTTAACATTGTCTACAATATTGCCAAAGAGTGTCAACGCACTTTAAGCACAAGCACTTTTTCAGTAACTTATCTTTCTTGTAGAAATGTGCTCCAAATAAAGAACTTTGTGTTGATAAGATTGTTAGTTAATCATCTACAAATGAATATTGTCTGTATAGACAGTAAAACTGCGATGTTAAGCGATATGGTTGAAAAATTTGGGTGCACTTAACTCTTGTGCTGGTGCAACCGTGGCAAAAAGTTAGTCTAGAGTCCTGTACAGTCATTCGACATTCATGCCAATGATGAGTGCATGTAAACTTTTGACCACAACTTTGTCTTTTTGCATATGTGTGTGTTTGTGTTGTCAGGAGTCCCAGGAGCTGTTTGCATGTCAGCAGAAACTTCAGAAAGTTCTCAAAGAGCTTGAAGAAACTCAGGGTCACTGTGAGGGTCTGACCAGAGAGCTGGATGCCGCCAAGCTGCAGACCAAAGAGACGGTATCGTCAAAACACTGTTTGTTTCTTGATCATATTAGATCCAGTAGCTTTGCCTGCATGTCCCGTATAAGGTAATGCTGGGTGGGGGTGTTCAAACTGTCACTTAGTGAGACCTGAGAGCAGCTTGCTAGTCTGCCACTGAGCAATCTTGATGCTCATGCTCAGTGTGTTCACTGCTATCAGCAGGAAGCATCATTGAAATTCATTAAGCAATTAATGACATTACAGGATTTCTCCTGGTTTAGAATCGGCCTTTAGGGAGTGAAGCATGATTGGTTTGCATTAAACAACAGGAGTCTTAAGGCCTCCTGCCTTAACTTCTGTTAAAAACAATATACCATACTTAACAGAGGTCTACTTATTTTCCTCTTCTTTCTTGCTATTTATAAAGTATGCTGGAGTTCATGAGTGACTGAATTAAAGGCCACTGATTTTCCTTTGGTGGCAGACCAAATTATATTTATGCAGGAAAAACCCTGTCATGTTGTACATCTGTTTCTATCATTAATTTGGCTGTGGGGTGTGTGCAGGAGGCCCAGCTGTGTGGTGTAGAGGAGGAGCTGACTCTGAAGGAGGCGCGCTGGCTGCAGTCGGAGGCCAGGCTTCAGGGCATGGTCACCGGCTTAGAGCAGGAGCTGGAGCTGGAGAGGGAGCAGCATAGCAAAGAGGTACTGTTGTCTCAAGACTGGTGACAGACTGCTCTGTTAACGGTAAACTAACTGTAGACTGTTTTAACGGGAAACCTCAACGTTGTGTGCTGTGTAGAGTTTGCCTTAGATCTGCTGAGTTTAATTTAAGTCTGGACTCAGGGTCCACAACACTTGATGGTGCACCTGATGTGTTTGCACCAAAGATAAAAAACTAATAACTTAAATAATAAATCTTGAATTCCATGAAATGTACTTAATTTAATTTATTTGACACGAAGCCCAATCTATTATTTTGGCCTCTAAAATAATCTGTGTGACATTTGGATTTTATCGACCTCTTCAGTTTTCCAGAGAGTCGAGAAGTAAATTTCCGACACTTATTGTGGATTTTTCCTAATAGAGCCCAAACTTCTTGGTCAGCACTATTTCTGTCAGTTTCCTGTCCGTGAGTCAATGTGTTTAAGCCTTTGTGGTTTTTCATGTTCTGTAGTCCTAAATATTGTTCCTGTTTCAGTCTGATTTGTTTTCCTCTTTTTTATTTATGTTTGACTTTTACACGTCAGTGACGCCATATGATTTCCTTATTTTATAGTATCTTTTCTCATGTTACTTCATCTCTGTTACGCACAGCTGAGAACATGTTGGTTTTGCTTCTTTGTCTTTTTGCAACGTTTAGTGTGAGTTTATTAGAGCACATCAAAACCACATCATGAAGCAGTCAAACAATAATGCTCATATTTATATTTCATATGTCAGGTTCCATTTAACTAATTTATTTTAAACTTTCTGTCATTGGAAAAAAAAAAAAGCAGCACTTTTCTCACGCGTCTGTTTTCCTTCTGTTCCCAGCTGGAGTCTCTTCAGGAGACTCGAGGCCAGCTCCTCAAAGTCTCGGAGCAGATCTCCTCCACAATGCGCTCCTCCCAGGAACAGCTCACTGTTAAACTTCAGCAGAGCCAGACCCAGCTCGAAGAAGCCAGGGTCCGCTTGGATCAGACCAAAGCCCAGCTGGACCAATCTAAGACGGAGCTTGAGCACGCCTGGAAGCGAGCTACTCACCTCCAATCACAGTTAGACCAGAGCCAGACACAGCTCCTTCAGAGCCAGACTCAGCTGGAACAGAGCAGGAGTCTTTACGAGCAAACTAGAGCCCAGAACAGTCGTCTGCAGGCACAGCTGGAGCATCTCACTGCTGTGCTAAATCAAACCAGAGTCGAGGCCGCCCAGCTCCAGAGTCAGCTCCATGCCTCCGAGAAGTCTGTGGAGACCTCCAGTGATTCCCTCCTCATCAAGGTAGAGCTTTTTTTTTAGTCAGCATAATGAAAGTTGCATGTTGTAAGTTCTTTATGATAGTTTTTTTTAAGCTAATGTTCCCCTGTTCTGGCAGGAGTCTGAGGTGGCTCGTCTCCAGGCCAGGATCTCCAGTTTGGGACGAGCTGCAGACCGACAACATCTGTACAATCACAGCCCGTCTATCTCTTCTCTGCACAAAGTCACAGACTCTCCCCAGCTCTGCCTCTCTGCTCCTTCCCCTGCATCCTCCCCCAAAAAGCTTCAGACGACTATCAGCTCTCCTCCTCATGCCCGTTCCTCACACCTAAGCTCCCCAACACATGCGCAGATGTGTTTATCGCCCTCTGCTCGCTCATACCTTAAACCCACCTCGGCTCTTCATCTCTCGGAGAGCCGACAAACGTGTGACTGGCTGCAGAGCAGCAGTATTGACTCCTCCTTGGACCTCCCTGAGAGCGTAAAAGCCACACTGAGAGAGGCTTTGAGTAAGCAACCATGGGAGTCTTTGTCACACTCAATTTCCTCTTTACCAGGCACAGTGGACCACAGCTGGCAGGGCCTCAGTGCCTCAGATGCCACAGTAATCTCTGATAACTCCTTCAACCCGCTTACTTACATGGTGGACAGAGAAAGTGACAGAAATCCACACGTGGAAGGCATCGTGATGGAGAGGGATGAAGGCGAGCTGCTCAGTGATTCGAGGAGGGAGTCTGTGAGCACTCTGGTGGGTCAGGAGGAACAGGCTGATATGAGTTCACTGACAGGCATGCTGAAGTTTGTCAATCAGACACTGGCCATGCAGGAAGATCCTTCTTTATGGAGATCCATAAACCTACCACATACATGACGCAGCCTCAGGTTAAAACACTCATTTAACGGTGAGTTAGTTGGTCATTTACACTCAACAACATGCACAGTTCCTGCAAAATTTCACTTCTTTTTTTGCCTCCTTTGCTCGGTTTTGCTCGATGGGTTCAAGGGGTGGTGCGGGCAGCAAAAGCAAACGGCCTCCCAGCTGTCGTCACATTTAAATTTAAATGTCACTGAGCCCTGATTGGTTCACATCACACTTTTTACCAAGCGATCAAAGGCCACTGAAAAGCCGTGATGAAATGAAACCTGTGTCCCAGAATTATCTGCTCTGTTACAGGAAATTACAGTTTTATTCAGGACAACATCACTATTACTAACAGGTCATCAAAGGTCATGAAACATAGACACTGAAGGAGGCTTTATAGAGAGAAGGTGCTAATGATGGATGTTAATTTTTGTTTTTAGAGGGACGTCAGAGAGGAGGAGAGTCGTTTTGCATTTCTGTTGTTTAAATAGGTTTCTGCATTCATCAACATTATTATTAAGATGACCACTACTATAGCAGACTGTAAATAATCCACTGTGATGTTTTATTCCAAATTGTAGCATTCTTGTTTCATGTATTTTTTATTATAGCCAATATTTATTTGTTCTTAAATAAGCTAATTTAATTAAAGAGTTTTATATAAAACACTTTGTGATTCTCAGTTATTCTTCTGAGAGCTGGTTTTGTTTGCTTATTCCCATGTAGTTGGTGACTGTGGGGTCATGTTACCAGAGCAACGGCTTGTTTTGTGTCCAGAAGGGAACAATTTCTGGCTCAGACTGATTTGAGCGAGGGTGGGGCTCAAGCTGGTTAAACTGCCTTTTGCACTTCTGTGGTTACGTAACACAAACTGGAGCAACGATCAGCCTTCATTGAGTTTTGGGATCAGCTTTTACCAATTTACAATCAAAATCACTGAATTCAGGTATATAAAATTCAGCCCCCATGCATGCAGACTCCTACAAACATTTGTGGGACACTCAGCTCAGTTAATTACAGCGTGATACCATGATAGGATGCCACCTGTGCAACAAGTGCAGTCATGAAATTTCCCCATACTGGATATTCCACAGTCAACTGTTGATGATATTATAACAAAGTGAAAGTCACTGGGAATGACAGCTACCCAGCCTAAAATTGGTAGTCCAAGTGAAATCACAGAACAGGGCCAGCAAATGCTAAGGCACAGAGGTCGCCATATTTCACTAGTTAATCGCTACAGACCTCGAAAGCACAAGAACAGAGTGTAGTGAGCTTCGTGGAATGAGTTTCGATGGCCGAGAAGCTTCATCGACGCCTTACATCGCCGAGCACAATGCAAAGTGTTGCAGAGGTGTAAAGCACGCTGCCACTGGACTCCAGAGCAGTGGAGACGTGCTCTGTGAAGTGATGAATTAACTCATCTGATGGATGAGTCCGGGTTTGTCGGTTACCAGGGAAACGGTGCTTGTCAGGCTGCATTGTGCCAAGTGTAAAGTTTGGTGGAGGGGGGATTATAGTGTAGGGTAGTTTTTCAGGAGTTGGGGTCAGGCCCTTAGTTCCAGTGGAAGGAACTGGTTCAGCATGCCAAGACATTTTGGACAATTTCATGTTCCCAACGCTTCCCAGGGGAGTTCAAACTATTATAGTTGCAAAGATTGAGCTGACATCATATTAAACCCTCTGGATTATGGCATGTCAAATTCATACACATGTGAAAGCAGACAAATGAATATTTTTGGTAATAAATTGTTTATGATATTTTGAACATTTGTTAGGAAATGTGTATAGATGTGAGAAAATAACAGTTTAGTTTGAAAGCTTTAAAGAACACAACGCTGTATGAAGAACACTTTCTTGGGGCCAACTGCAGATTTTGTGCAATTTTGCATCAATGCAATACAACTCCAAAGAAAATTGTATTTAAAAACCAAAACAAAACTGAATGTAATGATTTACAAATCTTGTAAATTTTATTCATAATAAAACTATATCAATAGTACTGAGACATGTTAATGTTTCATGAAAAATACTAGCTCATTTTGAATTTGGTTGCAGCGCCACATCTTTAAAGCAAGTTGATACAAAAGACTGGAAAAAGTAAGTAGTAGGAGACAACGTTCAGATCAGGCATGCCGTTCCTCCCAACCACGCCTCTCCACGACCAGTGTTGAAGACTGCCAGGTGGAGCACCCTCCAGCACCCCATGCTGTGACTCCAAGAAGGCTGGGCACTCTGAACTGTCGTTTAGCGAAAAAGTGGAAGCGTCAGTCAGGATTAGTTTAACTCTCCCAACCACCGGGGGAAACTACATACATATGACTATATCTGGCCTCACACACTAGCTCAGGCTCCTTCCCGATCACAGACGTGATGCTCCACGTCTCCGCCGGGAATCAAACTGCCAGGGTGTCTTCCCTTGACTACAACCCAGCACACATTGCACTCAACCACAGTGGTGCCTCCTGCAAGTGGTGAACCCAGAAAAGGGTGTGGCCATGTTGCCTCTTTGAGCTATGTCTATGGGGACCCAAAGGACTAAGATCGAAGCTTACCCAGGTTTGGCTCCAGGGCGAGGCTCTGGTAATCCTTGTCCCAGACAGGGTGAACTGGTCATTTCTTCATTGGGGGTGTTTGGAAGCGAAATGTGATTTGCATTGAAAACATAAATAAAAGCATAAACTCAAAATGGGTGCCACAGAAAGCATGAAGAATAATAAGTATGATAAGTACCAATAAGCATGAGAAATTCAGAATCTAAATCAGTGGAGCACACACCTAGTGTTCATTAAACATACCACACAGCAACAAACACTCCCAGAAAATAATTGACAACCTGGTTTCTAAGAATCATTTGTGAATGCAGATTTCCATGAATGCAACCGTCAAACAATGCAACAGTGCAGGCAGAAAATTAAACCGTAATGCAGAAACAGTGTGTGGAAAAAGTAAGCACGCGCTTACTGCTTCTACAGGAATTAAGAGGACAAGTAGCAGCTAGGTGCTGCTAATCCA